TTATGCTCTTAAGGATTTATTCAGTTATTTTCAACAGTTTCCGAAGATTGGAGAGAGTTCCGTGAAATAGTCACGGAACCCCCTTCAATCTTAAGTATTTGATTCATCTCTTTACGACGAAATAGTCCCTTTTGTACTAAATCTCTTTATTCTAAACCAAATTATTCTGGCTTTGAAAGAAAAACAGTCTACAGCAGAAACATAGCATAATAATTTGTACAGTTTTTGAAAATTAGAGTTTCTGTGATAGCTATGGAAAATTCAACCCAAGTCACGTGAAAATATTATGAAGTAGGTACGAGTAGTGAGGTGTTACTATGAAGTCTAGTTGTGCTGATCTTGTGCTATTACCATGTGACTGTTCCGATGACGAGCTGCGGCGTGTTCTTCAGAGGAGCCAGCATTGGTTCTCCCAGCAGCCCGTTGACCACCATCCCGCCGGCGAAGATCACCAGCATGGTGGACAGCCAGCAGGACAGAGGGTGTTTGCGGGAGAACGCCTGCGCCCCTGGAACATCAATGATCTTTATGTAAGTTTTATTCGTGTAATTACACGCGGCTAATGTGTCGCCAGCTAGTTTTACTTTGAACTTGGCTAGACATGCTACCTTGTGTCCCATATGAATGATATGAGTAAGAACAGACAATGGGACATCGAGGTAAATACTGAAGTAAGATGATGTTGTATTAGCAATTTGGAAAGAAAAACTGCTGTGTGATATGGGCTGGTATCTTTCCCTGTGCACATTAAGGTATTATGAGTAAAGAAACTGCTTTCTGTTTTAAAATAGGCACCTCATTCGGATTAATCTTTCAAAGATTATGATCTTGTGGTAGAGTTATTGTAATATTTTGAAGGAAGAAAACTTTATTATTTTCAAAAAGCATTTTAGAATGACTAGCGGCCGCCCGCGACTTCGTACGCGTGAATCCCGTTTTTCCCGCTAATTCCCGTTCCCGTGGGAATTTCGGAAATTCCTTTCTTAGTGCACCTCTACGGTACCTAAGCTACGTCCCTTCCAAATTTCAAGTGCCTACGTTTAGCCGTTTAGGCTGTGCGTTGATCTGTCAGTCAGTCAGTCAGTTTCTCCTTTTATATATTTAGATTACCTACATTAATATCACCGTCTTTTTCATGTCACTCGTACGCAGATAGCATGAGATCATATTACTCCGTATACTACAAAAAGTAGAAGCAGTTAAATGACATAAATATGACAGAAATAGTGGTGTTATTATCTAGTGGTCATCATACATACTAAAAAATATGTAGGGCCCGCAGCCCTATTGAGTAGTACGTACGACTGTATTATTTTTAATAGGCATGGTGAGCAAGTAAAGATAAATGATCTACATACTACACAGATATAGTATACGAGGGGCGGCTGAAAAGTTTTGAGCCTAAGTATCTTCAAGTGTTATTATTGACTCGCACTAAATTTAATTAATTTGCCAATAACCTCCTTAGTATAAGTATCAAGTTTCATTTCATTAGCGTCATCACGCTTTTAGTAATTAATCCGTAAACATCATCAAGTCTCAGTTATCCGCGCAATGTACGAAATTGAAGTACACAGTTGTCATAAAATTCCTCAAAAAAAGGAACAAAACGTTGATGGTAACATTTGAAGAGATGTCGACAGTTTATGGGGAGTCTGGGCCTTCATTTGCCACCATGAAAGATTGGATCCGATAATTCAAGCATGGCAGGGAGTCGCTAAAAGATGACCGCAAATCAGGGCGGCCAGATTTCGCCATTAACGAATAAAATAATGAAAATTTAAAGAATCTTGCTTTAGAGATCAGCGAATTAAGCTGTGACGGATAGCTGAAGCCATAGGCATTAGCAAGGAACGTATCGACGATATTTTTCATACTCATTTGCACATGAAAATGGGGTGTGCGTGATGGGTGCCAAAAATGCTCACGCCGTTCGACAACCAGGGTCGAGTCACAACTTCGCAGGAGTTTTAGGACATCTTTGGCCATAATCCTATCAAATTTTTTTCTCATATTGTCACTATTGATAAATAATAAATCCGGCAGTACGATCTAGAGTCAAAATAAGAGTCAATACAATGGATTCAAAAGGGAAAACGCCGCCGCGGAAATTCAAAGTGGAGCGATCGACACCCAAGCTCATAGCCACTATTTTTGGGATTGTGGAGGAATTTTATTCATTGACTACCAACTTAAAAAAACTACAATAAACGGGGATTATTATGCTGTACTGTTGATAAGAGTGCGTCAAGTGGTTGTTGAAATATTAAGAGGCAAACTGGCGAAAGGAAATCTGTTTTTGCAAGACAATTCGCCCGTTCACACCGCGCATGTTGCATGGCTTGCCCCGGGTAAAACTGGATTTCAAAAAATTTATCACTCACCACACAGTTTAGTCCGAATCCCTAGCTATTTTTTGTAATTCTCAAATTGGAAAAAAGACCTCCAGGAACGATGATTTTTGAGTGACAAAGAAATGAAGGCGGCGTTAAACGCTCATTTCGAAGGCAAAGATTGCGAATTTTTTTTCAGTGAGTAAAAAGCTCTTTTACGCAAATGTAAGAAGTCCGTTGTAGTAGAGGGAGATTAAATAGAAAAATATATTTTTTATACTTTTCTATCGGCATTTTTAATACCCTAGGCTCAAAACTTTTCAGCCGCCCCTCGTATCTGTGACATACTATGTATAATACCTACTCTACATAAATCAAAGCCCAACATCCATATACCTACCCATCATGTTTTTTTATTATTATTATTATACACACACAAGTTGTTTTACTTACAATATTCTAAATTTCTAAACCATTATTATGACTTAAACAAAATAAATTATTAATAACATTTGCGTAAAATACTGCAACATCTAACCATTTACTTCGTTAACTAATCGAACCCTTTATTTCCTTAGCCAAACACCCTAAAACTCCATCCCATACACACATTATTATTATTCTTACTTTTACACCCTTCTTTCACTTTACAGAATCCTTTTTGCTTCGCTCCTCGGGTAAAAAACGATGACGTAGTAAGTCTTGAAAACTTATAATTAATTTCAACTTCCCCCAACACGGCTCGTTGGTCTAGGGGTATGATTCTCGCTTCGGGTGCGAGAGGTCCCGGGTTCAAATCCCGGACGAGCCCGACTGTGATGTATTTTTGTCTTTTTAATTGATTAATTTGTTTTAAATTACCACAACTTGTCATTTTATTAAATTAGATGTTGCTTTAAAATTATTTATTTACAAAAATAAACATGCTGACACTGCGCCATCTAGCTAATCTAACTGGAAGCAAATATTGGCACGACAAAGAACAGTTGCATGCTTTTTTACTGTGCTGTTTATTTCTGTCCAGGAATAAAGATTAAGGTGTTCTAGAAAAGATTATCTAAAATCTGTGATAAACTATAAATTTTGTTAGTTGAAAGTACACATTTGTAACTAAAGTAACACATTATACGTTATCAGTAGCGAATTTTATCATGCATTGGCAATACTTACAGCTAATGATAAAAATGCTTGTAAGTATTAGTATTTTATGTATTAAAAGTACACTATTACATGAATTCTGCACGCTATGTTAAAACATTTGAATTTTCCTTATAGGTATTTTGATTCTCTATCATACTAAAGACCGTGGTTGACTTGTGATCCACAGGGAACTCAAATCTATTTTTAAACTGTTTAGGTGTCTTTATTTTAGAACATTCCAAGCATCAGATGGCTAAAAGCGAATCCAAAAAATAACTTTCAGGATGCGGAAGTTGCCCGCTGTTGAGTATTTTGGCGGGCGAAATGAACTTGATTTAATAAATACTAACCAGCTCCTAAATCTTCTCTTACTGCTAGAGCGCATAATAAAGAGTGCGCTATATCGAAATACGGGTACATCTTCAGTTTTATGACCTGGTTGGCCAGGTCCAAGAATGCTTCGGGATCCATGTCGTCAGGTTTGCGTAGGTCTCACGATATTATTTAAATTAAGGCACAACTAAACACCGACAATATCGTGGCACGTTGCGCACGGCGCGACTACACGCGGGCACAGATGCCGCGAGACTGGGAGGGACGGGCCTGCCTGAAGATCGAACTTGCTTTCCTGTACCTCTACGATTATTTTGGTCCGAAGCACTAGAGGAAAACGTGGTCGGTCTCGGAGAACGGCTCTGACATTTTGTCACTATTGTCAGTGCCATTATTTGTTTTTTTTTCATCAAATGTCCTTTATTTATTGAAGTTTGTATACGCTATTTTCGTCATTGTATATCAAGTTTCCGTAGTGTAGCGGTTATCACGTGTGCTTCACACGCACAAGGTCCCCGGTTCGATCCCGGGCGGAAACAGGTGTTTTTTTTTTCTTCAGTTCACCGATTTTTATTTGGGTCGAGTGAGTGTAGAGCCACGAGGTGTTTGTAGATAAATATTATCTAACGATAAAAATAATAATTTACCGACATATAAAATATAAAAAATATTTATTTGAATTCATCATCATCATCATCATCATCATCATGTCAGCCATAGGACGTCCACTGCTACTGTCTGTTTGAATTACTATTACTAAATTAGAAAGTAGGACGACTTACGGAAATAAGACATTGTTTTTTTTTACCCTAACAAGGGTGACCTAAGGACAGAAATAAAATGTCAATTTATAAGATTATAAATGTGTATATTTTTAACAAAACATTCATAAACAATTCCAAAATTTAATTACAATTATTTAAAATATTTTATTAGCTATGATAATTTAGGACACGAGTACAATAATTACATACAATAGGAACAGTTGAATTTTCAGTCTTCTGTTCGACAAATCAGATGCACACAGCCAAATCTTTGGATATTATAGTTTTGATTCAACAATTACGTTTTGTAATTTTGATTAAATCAGAATTATCTAATCTCACTAATCCCGAATGAGTATTGCACCTTCAGTGGGGAATGTACTGGACATTTATGTAACTGCAATAATTCGTTTTGCTATTCTTTACTGACGCTATAGACGAATTGAAACATACCACGACATTACTGCTGCCGTAACAACCAATAGCTGATGGCTACGTTCATGCTATGACGCAAGATGAATTTACAGAACATCATTCAAATAAACTCATTTTTCGCACGTTTGTGATAATTTACAAAATGTTCGTTAATTTACAAAATGTTCGTTATTGCAGTTACACAAGTTTGTCAATTGATAAGTCATTCAAATTATAAAAAAGTAAAATGATTAAGAATAAATAAAAATCACGCGAAAATAATAATTATAAAAACTTACACACTAAATAGAAATTACACGAGTTCGCCCGCAGTACCAATATTAAATGCACAGATCTACGACACTAAAATTTACAAATGAAAAATCTAATTCTTTCAACTGGGCTGTTAAAATTGCTTTCTAGTTTTTACACTTTCTTAAAATTACATTGTCGCTTATTTTAAAATTTCCTTATAGAGATTCTAAGACTAAAGTAAAAAACTAAACATTACAATTGCATAATTCTTAAAATAAATTATTTTCGACGGCGCGCAGTCTTATCCATTTACAACGGTGTGCACGTGAACACAAACAACTTGATTTAAAAAAAAAAATAGAATAATAAAAATAAAATGGAGCATAGACCGTTTTGTCTGCCAATAAACACCAACCAGCAACTGCGCCGAAATATCGGGGTCTCGCCTAAAAAAGTGTCATTATAATTAACAATTTAAATATGTATTACATACTTACTTTCAATTTCGTAAGAAGTTATCGCCTCATCATACACCACAAAGTAATAAATAAGAAGACCTAACAAACTGCACGATCATGTTACTGTGCAAGTCAGTATTACAAGGTTTTACACTGATATTGTTACAGAGTTTTATGTTTAGCTACGTGTTTTCAACTCATAAAAGTAAACCTACAGAAAAGACGATATAAAAAAAATTATAAATTGTAAAGATCACGAAATCCGAAAATAAATCACGATGCGCCACGTGCATACCTCCTATTTGTTCCGATACAATCACATCAACTAACAATCGCCGTTTTGTAAAACATCTCATTTGCGTGATGTTCACATTAAATTAAGCACCGACATTTTGTGAAATAAAGCGACTGCCTATGAATGTACAAAGCCTGTAATTATTTAACATTAGTTGGTCACCTTAAAAAATCAAGGAGATTGCGTAATAATTAAAGATACAAAGTGACAGGCGTATTCTAATATTGCTTGTTCTTGATTTTCGCTCTGACTCCATTACATGACTGCTTTTGGATTCTGAAATGAAAGAAAATAACAATTTAACCTCTTAAAAGGCTGTTAAACGAATGCTAGCACAACAAGGTAAATATTATGTCATCATACTAGTTGTAGTAGATGCGATTAAGCAACATAAAATTGCTCGTTTTCGTGCTGACACCATTTTTTCTAAATATGTATGTATGAATAGTACCATCTATAGCGGTGTATTCTTTTACTGTGCCATCTAAAAATAGGTAGCTTTATGGAAAATTGTATGTTTATCAACACCCAATTAACACTAGCGAGTAGCGACACAGAATAGAGATAAAATTAAAACTTCACGGACAAATTCCATAGAACATATGCAGAACGTTTGGGTCAAAATATGTTAATTACATTAATTACTTGCCTTTATCTTCACATAGTTTTATCAGTGGACTTAGCTTTCGCAACAGACGCGCCGGAATCCCGCCTCTCACCGTTGACCCCTGTGACAAATAAAATAATGAGTAATGTGTACAACATGAGTGTATCAGTCATGGCAGGCATGTTACATGTTTATAATAGAAACGCTTCGAATGATTTTTTAGTTGGAAACGTTGTTTTCACCCTGTATATTAATATAGCAGAAACTTTCCCATGAGTTTAAAATCGATGTAAATTGAGGAGAAATACATGATATGAATAGCCAAGATGATAAGGCAAAGTTGATAGAAATGGTCAGAGGCGTTATTTCCATTCAATAAGCTATCGGATGCATCTAAACCACGGCGTACAATGTCAGTACCTTTCTTTTTCTTATTTTTAGCCGGGGCGCTCAAAATGACCCCGTTGGCTGAAACGAAAAAATATCATCAATATACCGGGTGTTGCACGTACCGGTTGGTGATTTCGCGTGTTTTTGTTTGAAAATATTCTTAGTGAATGCTATAAAAGACCGATTCTGCAATGGTTTCGTACCGACACTCCGCTCGGTCTTAGGAGACTGCGCGCTTGGTGATAACTCGGATTGTAGGAGCATCTGTGTTTCTTCTTTGGGGGATGATAACGTTCTGCTTTCAGGAGTCTGGAGGGCGATGTCTTCGGTTGCTATTTCGGCTTCTTCTGTAGTGTTGGTTTTTTCTTGGGCGTCTTCGGTTGTGGTTTCGTCTTTTTCCGATAGGTCACTTTTGAGGTTGGTTTTGACGGGGCTTTCGGAACGCTCTGGGGTGGATATGCCGCTTTTGTTGGGCGAGAAGTTAATTTCGGCGTTGGTCTGGTGCTCGGAGGTCTTTTTGGACGGACTGTCGTTGTCCGTTGTCGATGGACAACGGTCCATAACGGTGTCTTGGTCAGAGTCGGTGGTTTCGGAGCCGTCGCTCCTGATGCTCGTGACGTTGGTTAACTGGAAAAAAGAAAATAGATTTAAAGAATACACACAATTAGAACTGAATATAAATAAATTGAGAAATACAAGTGAAGTTTAGGGTTAAATAAATATTTACTTAAAAAGTCTCCTAAAACTTTCGAGACGGCGCTTGTTACCGCCCGCACCACCCCCGCGTACCCCGCTACCACCGAGCACATCCGGCCGCCGTCCAGGGAGAGCGGGGGGACTGACCGATAGCTCGCCCGCATAATAATACCATTTTCCTGAATTCATGGATTTTTCCATGAAAAAAATATGTTTTGGCATTGTGTTTTACAAAACCACACCCTGTATAAGAATGTATTCAGTGTCTCACCGTGAAACTGGAGTCGTCGTCGGAGTCGGCAGCGAGGTCCACCATCATCTTCTCCAGCAGGCGCTCCATGGTGCTCTCGTTGGCCGACGCCGCGGGGCTGGACGACTGACGCGCGCGTTTGCTGCGCTTTACTACCTAATGAATACGGTGTTATGTACTTTTTATCATACAAAATACATGTCAAGTTAGCTATTTAAGGGTGAAGTTATTAGGGAAGATAATCTACATAACATAAATATGGAATAGGATATTTTTGAACTCAAGCCAAAAAGGTTCCTTTACTTTGGAGTAAACACGTTGAACATTCGATTACTTACAGGGTTCACCACCATGATGAGCATCGGGGTGAAACTGTAGGTTTAACCTAATTTTTTCAACTACTTATCTTGAAATCTGCATCGTGAGCACCATTTTTACCCCATTGAAGCTATCTGATGAAGGCCACAGAATACGGGTAGATTGGGACATTTGGGACCGGTATACGGTAGTTGTGGAGCTACCGGTTTGATCTGCCCAAAGATCTCACCAAACGTCATTGTTGCTGATTCTCGTAGTGTTATTGTTCCCATAGTTGTGTGAGCGACGGAAGCACATGGTGAACTCAAACAGCGAATGCAGACGCTCGCCCCAGGCGCGGGACTAAAGGCGCTCGCGCTTATACTTAATGAGTATTAGAGATTAGTAGATAAGACGATAGCAAAGAGTAATGAGCTCACCAAAACCTCCTCGTTGTTGCTGACTCTCGTAGTGTTATTGTTCCCATAGTTGTGTGAGCGACGGAAGCACATGGTGAACTCAAAGAGCGAATGCAGCCGTTCGCCCCACGCGCGGGACTAAGGCTCTCGCCCTAATACTTGAAGGCTCAGTGATAGGAAGATAGCAAATAAAAGTCAGCTCACCAAAACCTCCTCATTATTGCTGATCCTGGTGCTGTTGTTATTGTCGAATTCTTACAGAATTCCGTCGCTCGGTGAACTCGAATAGCAACTCCCAACAAAGGCCTATAATAAGTGTACAACAAAAAATAATGAGCTCACCAAAACCTCCTCATTGTTGCTGACTCTCGTAGTGTTATTGTTCCCATAGTTGTGTGAGCGACGGAAGCACATGGTGAACTCAAAGAGCGAATGCAGCCGTTCGCCCCACGCGCGGGGCGGGGGGGCGGCGGCGCGCGCGCGGGAGAGGCGGCCGCCCTGGTACTTGAGTGTGCGTAAGTAGCGGCGCTTGCTCTGGATGTACGTTACCTACGACCAAAAGTACCGTGTGATGTATTTTTTATGCAGAAGACAGGTATTTGGCCGCAATCGCACTTGATGTTAAGTGGGATGCAGTCTAGGATGGTACATATCTGCCCTGTAAGTGCCTATTCACTCTCGCCTTGAAAATGCCCGGATTATAGTCTTCGGGAAAGACAGCAGCACAGGCAACGAATTCCAGTCCCTAGCTGTTCGCATTACAAAAGAGTCATCGAAACGCTTAGTGCGAGCTGGTGGAATGTCAACAATATAGGGATGGTACGCTAACCTGCGTCTGATTCCCCGATGATGGCAGGATAAGATAGGTTCTAGGTCTAGGTAATGTCGCCTTGGCACTTGAGGGTGCGAAGGTAGTGGTGCTTTGGATGTAAAATGAATGGGGGAACACGTTTTGAGCTTATAAAAATACGGGTATCAACAACGGTGTCAAAAAGCCATTGTGCGCCAGCTGGAGTAGCTAAAATGGTGAATACATTTTGGCGCTTCAATAGCCGCGCTTGCAGGTAATAATCCAAAGACTCTAAAGTGAGTTCACACATGCACCATTTGATTTGACAAAGAAATGACTTATCTCAACAGATAAAAGAGAGTAATGCAGGTCAAAAAATGTCCTAAATAAAATTAAGTTTTTTAAAGTTTTTTCTAAGCTTTTTTTATCCACAACGAGGGAGCTATAACTTACCACATCTGCAGATCTTAAAGGTGGTTTTCCCATGACGAGGTTGATCAGTGATATGGACTCCCTCGTGATGCGTAGCGTGACGAGCAGCATGAGGAANTACCTACCTGGACTTTCATTTCATCTATCACCTACGTTCACCCATCGACCTACATCGTCTACAGTAGTCATAAAAATTTTAATATTTTTCTTGTAATTACTTTCATGTGTACTGCCACCCCTAAGATGGGCATTGTTTTACAAAACCACACCCTGTATAAGAATGTATTCAGTGTCTCACCGTGAAACTGGAGTCGTCGTCGGAGTCGGCAGCAAGGTCCACCATCATCTTTTCGAGTAGGCGCTCCATGGTGCTCTCGTTGGCCGACGCCGCAGGGCTGGACGACTGACGCGCGCGTTTGCTGCGCTTTACTACCTAATGAATACGGTGTTATGTACTTTTTATCATACAAAATACATGTTAAGTTAGCTATTTAAAGGTGACGTTATTAGGGAAGATAATCTACAGAACATAAATATGGAATAGGATATTTTTGAACTCAAGCCAAGAAGGTTCCTTTACTTTGGAGTAAACACGTTGAACATTCGATTACTTACAGGGTTTCCAACCATGTGCATCGGGGTGAATCTCTGGGTTTAGCCGAATTTTTTCAACTACTTATCTTGAAATCTGCATCGTGAGCACCATTTTTACCCCATTGAAGCTATCTGATGAAGGCCACGGAATACGGGTAGATTGGGATCGGTATACGGTAGTTGTGGAGCTACCGGTTTGATCTGCCCTAAAATCTCGCCAAACGTCATTGTTGCTGATTCTCGAAGTGTTATTGTTCCCATAGTTGTGTGAGCGACAGAAGCACATTGTAAACTCAAACAGGGATTGCAGGCGTTCGCCCCAGGCGCGGGACTAAAGGCGCTCGCCTTTATACTTGAAGGCTCAGAGAGAGGACGATAGCAAAGAGTAAGAAGCTCACCAAAACCTCCTCATTGTTGCTGACTCTCGTAGTGTTATTGTTCCCATAGTTGTGTGAGCGACGGAAGCACATGGTGAACTCAAACAGCGAATGCAGCCGTTCGCCCCACGCGCGGGACTAAAGGCGCTCGCGCTTGTACTTAAAGTCTAGGAGATAGGACCATAGCAAAGAGTAATGAGCTCACCAAAACCTCCTCGTTGTTGCTGACTCTCGTAGTGTTATTGTTCCCATAGTTGTGTGAGCGACGGAAGCACATAGTGAACTCAAATAGCGAGTCCCAACAGTGGCTATAATAAATGTATAGCAAAGAGTAATGAGCTCACCAAAACCTCCTCGTTATTGCTGACTCTCGTAGTATTATTGTTCCCATAGTTGTGTGAGCGACGGAAGCACATGGTGAACTCAAAGAGCGAATGCAGCCGTTCGCCCCAGGCGCGGGACTAAAGGCGCTCGCCTTTATACTTGAAGGCTCTGAGATAGGACGATAGCAAAGAGTAATAAGCTCACTAAAACCTCCTCGTTATTGCTGATTCTGGTGCTGTTGTTATTGTCGAATTCTTACAGAATTCCGTCGCTCGGTGAACTCGAATAGCAACTCCCAACAAAGGCCTATAATAAGTGTACAACAAAAAATAATGAGCTCACCAAAACCTCCTCATTGTTGCTGACTCTCGTAGTGTTATTGTTCCCATAGTTGTGTGAGCGACGGAAGCACATGGTGAACTCAAACAGCGAATGCAATCGTTCGCCCCAGGCGCGGGACTAAAGGCGCTCGCCCTTATACTTGAAGGCTCAGAAATAGGACGATAGCAAAGAGTAATGATGAGCTCACCAAAACCTCCTCATTGTTGCTGACACTCGTAGTGTTATTGTTCCCATAGTTGTGTGAGCGACGGAAGCACATGGTGAACTCAAAGAGCGAATGCAGCCGTTCGCCCCACGCGCGGGGCGGCGGGGCGGCGGCGCGCGCGCGGGAGAGGCGGCCGCCCTGGTACTTAAGTGTGCGCAAGTAGCGGCGCTTGCTCTGGATGTACGTTACCTACGACCAAAAGTACCGTGTGATGTATTTTTTATGCAGAAGACAGGTATTTGACCGCAATCGCACTTGATGTTAAGTGGGATGCAGTCTAGGATGGTACATATCTGCCCTGTAAGTGCCTATTCACTCTCGCCTTGAAAATGCCCGGATTATAGTCTTCGGGAAAGACAGCAGCACAGGCAACGAATTCCAGTCCCTAGCTGTTCGCATTACAAAAGAGTCATCGAAACGCTTAGTGCGAGCTGGTGGAATGTCAACAATATAAGGATGGTACGCTAACCTGCGTCTGATTCCCCGATGATGGCAGGATAAGATAATATCATATCCCCGTTAACCTACCCTCTAGGTCTTGGTAATGTCGCCTTGGCACTTGAGGGTGCGAAGGTAGTGGTGCTTTGGATGTAAAATGAATGGGGGAACACGTTTTGAGCTTATAAAAATACGGCTATCAACAACGGTGTCAATAAGTCATTGTGCGCCAGCTGGAGGAGCTAAAATGGTGATACATTTTGGCGCTGCAATAGCCGCGCTTGCAGGTAATAATCCAAAGACTCTAAAGTGAGTTCACACATGCACCATTTGATTTGACAAAGAAATGACTTATCTCAACAGATAAAAGATGCATGCAGGTCAAAAAATGTCCTAAATAAAATTAAGTTTTTTAAAGTTTTTTCTAAGCATTTTTTTTAATCCACAACGAGGGAGCTATAACTTACCACATCTGCAGATCTTAAAGGTGGTTTTCCCATGACGAGGTTGACCAGTGATATGGACTCCCTTGTGATGCGTAGCGTGACGAGCAGAATGAGGAAAAACACCCAGGGCAGAGGCCGCACCAGCTCTGGCTGTGGTCTCTCATCTTGGTCCACTGTAAATGTTAATAAATAAGTAAGATACGCCTCGTAAAGGGCACAGCGTGTCAAGCTTATCACAGTAGCATCTTTATAGTTGTAATAAATAGGGGCTATTTTGCAGCGTTGGTACGGCGTGGTCAGAATCGGTAGGACCCCACGTCGTACCAGTAAAACGCAGAGGGTGCACCACAGGTTTTTTAAATAAATAAATAAAGTCCTTTATTGCTTCTACAACTTACTATGATAGTTACATATTGTTGATTGATTGACATAGTATAAGAAAGCAAATGGAGGTGGCTCAGCTAATGCTGCCTGAGGATACTCAGGCTGCGCTTTAGTGGGTATACTAATTCATAATTGTCAGTTGGCAGCCGCTATTGCTACCACCCGGGGGAAGTCCCACATAAACCGCCACCTTCCTGGAGTGGCGGGTATACACAAAAATTCCTGCGTCTAAAAGGGCTATATTGCAACGAAAATGTAGTCTCACTCTGTACCTACTTCAGACTCAGTAGATTCATATTTCTTGAGTGATTAATAATTATTAAAAATGTATTTTATACTATCGCATTAGGTGTTAACCTGTAATTAAAGATAATATATATTTGGTAAATAAATAAACACAGATTTGTCTGATTGAAACACGCGAGGGCATGTTTATGAGGCGTGTAAAAAGTAGTTGAATAATAGTAGATAAGTATATAATCTAGTCGCCACTATCCAAGGTCTTACATTGTATAAAGAAATTATTTTATGACGTCATTAGTTAGCGAGCTCATATTATCAATTACTAAATTTTAATTTTGCAGCAAATTGGCAAGTCTTTAGGGTTGCTTTTGAGTATCTTTTTTAAAGAAGTAATTGTGTCTAAGAATTTATTGGTTAATAGTCTCAACTCCTCCATTTGCCTCTGCGAAATTAAAGAGGGTATTGTGCTCGTGCAGTGTTACTGATAATGATGGAGACCATCTTAACTACCCAATTGACTAACGGATCTGCCTGCAGTGAAGACTAGCTAGATATAAACCTGATGGTGATGATGCTCTGGGATCCCGACGAGCTTACTATAGCAAGCTGAAATGATAATGGGCAGGGCACATAGTACGCAGAGCTGACGGCCGATGTGGCTGCAAGGTTCTGGATTGGGGGCCACGTGGCACGTACCAGAAATCGCAGCGCGGGACGTCCCCCAACAAGGTGGATCGACGACCTCATAGAGGTAGCAGGAAGGCTGGATGCAGGTTTCTACCAACCGAGCGATGTGGAAATCATTGAGGAAGGCCTATGTCCAGCAGTGGACGTTCATGTGGCTGAAATGATGATGGTCTCAAGTACCCAATGACCAACTTACATGGAGGCGGCACGGCCCACCGCGCACACTTCTCCAAGACCCACAGCACGCGATCGCAGTGCCGCAGCGCGGTCTGTCCCAGGCGATAGCTGGCCGCGTGTTCCGCTACATTCTGCAAGACTTCCTTCGCAAATGATACCAGCTCCATCTGTAACCAATAGAACGTTATGGTGAACTCTGGCTGAAGTATTTCTTGTCATTTTCCTTTGATCAACACAGTGGGTCGTGATGCAGGAGCTAAGCTCCTCTTCTTAGGTTGACGTCAAGAGATCTCTTCATAACGATACGCCCACCTGAATTGTGTCATTGTCACGACAATAAATAAAAGATTACAATGTTTGACATTAAGGTGGCCTAGGTATATCCTGGATATAAGTCATGAAATAAATAATGCGAGGCCACCTGACATGCTATAAAGTTTTCGGTGTCGAAATGAATGCATGCGGCGCAGTATCGTTAGTTCATTGCCTGGCGAATTTCTCAATAACTAGGTACACACATTCACAAAGTAAAAATTACTGAAAGTTTACTTCGAGGAACAAAATTTACTGAAAAAATGGCGCGTAAATATTACTTTGCAAAACTATGCAACAAAATCAGTTTAATGCAAAATACACACTAAAATGTGGGTTAAGTAGATCGCTAAGGTGTATATGATTATATTTATGAGTGGAATAATTAATTTTGCATGAAATTGATGAAACTGTGTTATCAATATGCATGCGGAGTGCACAAACATGATTGCGCCTAAAGATTGGAAAGTCACACTCACAAACAACTTGCCTCATGCAATGTTGTATCTGTAGGTACCAGGTACCTGAATAACAAAGTCATATAGATTTTTAATATAAATTAGTGCTGATATAGTAGGCATATTAATTAAAAAGAAAAATTGTTAACACCAGTAATGTGATTTAAAGATGTGATGTGTATAATACATGATTGTGTGTCTTNTGTGTCTTTTTTTAAATTAAATAGTAAATTTAAGTACAATTATTTAAAGAATCACTTGCTTACCCTTCATAGAGAGCCCAAAGTTTAAATATTCTTATCAAAACACACACTAAACTGGTGTTATTGTTTACAAGTATCACTGTATTTTGTTATACAGAAACTGGTGACCTTTGAACAATAAGAGACAAAAATCACTTCATTCACGTTTAGTGTGCATATTGTAGAAAGCACAATGTGATGTTATCTACTTCAGTGAGACCACACTAATGAGTGCAGGATCGAGAATAAATACATCACTTTGACTTCTTTATACCTTAGATAAGTGGACAGTGGCAAAGGGCGGAGGTCACTGCAATCATAGGCAGATATGGAGGAGCTATCCAGACAAATACATTACATATCTCAATAAGTGCAGCGTCGTACGCACCTTGTTATTAATAAACTGTGTGCTTTACTGCACAACTAAATAAGAGAAAATATTTAAATTTCACTTGATAGGTTTACAATGTAGGTACTAGTAAGAACACAATATATTAACTGATTTTTAAGCAAAAAATACTAGACAATTGAATACAAAATGCATTAATATAATATGTCTGTAACATGATGTCGGATGGAAGATTCCAAATATAGTTAGGATGTTAACTCTGAAGTTTTTAACCTAACTTTGCTTATTACCTACTTGTTGCTAATAACACGCACTGATTATTGCATTATATTAACCGAAAAGGATTACACGTAGTATTAACACTACCGGTAAATAGAAAATGCGAGCCAGTTTAAAAAGCATAAAACCTGCCTACCTACATAATTTACTAAAAAGTAATTGACTCAATTTGCTTAGTTTAAAACTCAAACACATTTTCTAACTTTAAATATTTAAAGGGATTGTAGTTTTAGATGATTATTGAATAAAAAAATCCACACACGGCCTTACATACGGCAAATTCTTGTGAGAAATAAGGTGAAACTATAGAAGTTGATATTTTTTAAATGTGTATTTCTGATAATGTTTTATATTTTAAAGGTAACTGCTGTGCTCTTAAACTAAAACTTAAATGCAATTAATATATAAATTATTATAATTAAAAAATATTTTAAAAATAACCTTGAACGATCCCAACTCGGTTGACAGATTACCACAGACTAAAGATAATGACACTAATGACAGCTTAATTGTGACAGACGCATAGCCACAAACAATTTTTTTTTCATAGATTTGAATTTTGATTTTTGAGTAAGAATACATACCGGTATTGCAAAACCGGTACTGACATCCCTAATTAAAGAATTTATTTCTCTATGGAAAGTAAAAAAAAATTGTCTTTGGTATCGTGGTAGATTTACCTCTTTAGTTTATGGATAGTGGTATTACTCTCTCATCTGTGGTAGATTTTGCAAATGTTTCACAATGGCGTGACGTTAGTGGCGCGTTTAGCCTTAGATTAATTTATTTTGAAGTAATAAACAGTGACTTGTCCTGATCAATTAGAACTATGTTGTAGTGCTTGTTGTGTTTTTTAAACAATTGGATTGTTTTTCGCATTGAACCGATGGAAAAAATGAATCGGTAATGGAATCCCTTGAAGAATCTAATTGTCACTCACTGAGCGATAGTTTTTCTTTGTATGAGCGGTATTTGAGAAGTTTTAATGTTGTGGATAATTTCGTTGAAGAAAACAACGTACTAGAGCAGACGAATCGCCCGTCATCCATGAACGGTGATTACGAGAGTTCAAACAGTAGAGGTAACATTGATTTGTCAGCTGTTGGCCAAACAAACATATTAGATAAGCGGTCCGAGTCCGCCGAACTCGAGTATAACTTGCTGAATTCAGCTCCAAGTGACAACATAGACAAGGACCTATACTTGGACGTGGACAACTGCACCAAACTCGGCTCATCGTGTACTTCTCAGGGACCGTCGTTGCTGGATAATTCGTCCACCACAGCTGATCATTGTACCCTTAACGACAAATTTGAGGCTATTGACGCGCCAGTTCTGTCAGAAGACTCCAAGTCTGAGCTTTCCAAGCAACCAATTTTCATAACCTCAACAATGGAGAACAGTAACAATGCTGTCGACAGTGTGCCTATGTTTCGTGACGTGAGACATTCCGAGAGCGTATTTAAGTTGCCCATCAGTGAACTTTCTTTTAATGGTACATTAAAACACGTTCAGAAACTTAAGCCCATAGTGGACCCTCTCACAGCCTTAAGCTGCAATAGTGGATTGGTTAACTTAGATGAAAGGTCTGAAGACCATAATTCAGAAAGTGTTACGAGTAGAACCGATGATGTGGCCTCTAGTTCCTATAGACTGAGTAGTGTATCTGATGATCAAAGTTCTTGTGAGAAGAATTGTGCAGACAGAGTCACTGAGAGTACAGGGGACTCCCAGTATGAAGAGTTTAATGGTAAGAAGATGTGTGCAGTCCAAAATGATGATGGGAGCAGTAAATGGAATTCGGAACAAAGTTACTCCTCCCTCGAGGCATCCTTCGACAGTGGGGTGAGGTCTCCAGACATGTTCTCTGAAGAAGAGGAAGACATTCCAGCTCCTGCTCCTGAACCATTTTGGGGTTTTCTCAGTGACTGCGAAGCTTATGATAAAAAGAGGGTCAGGAAATGTGAGGTTAGTAGCATGACCCTTTTTCTATTTGCATTTTATTCATTTTTATTAATGCTTTATGTACTTTAACAAGTTTTTATTTTACTAATAAGTATACTCATACTGTTTTCTGTATATCCTTTAAATTAGTATTATTTTTGAAATCTTAAAATGTCTGTATTGGATAGGATTTAATATATACCAATTATGTATAGGTTAATTAATGTAAATGAACATGTGTTTTAGCGCATTCTACAAGGAGTATTGCCACCACCATCAGTAACAGTTCTAAAGACAGATGTCGCTACAATGCTCAAAAAATACTACTGTTTCCTGCCTGCATTCACTGGAGAAGATAAGCTCAACACTTCTGAGGCCAACTCAACCCCTACCAAAAGAGTTTCATTTGTTCATATCCCTACTGAACATGGGGTCAATGAACCTGTCCAAGAAACAACACAAGATACCATGAGGCTTACAACTCAACCTGGAAAGTCTCAAAGCTTACCAGCCAAAGAATGTTCAAAGTCAGAGCCAGAATTAGACACAAGTGTCAGTGATAAGACAATAGATCTAAAGATGAGCACTGAGATTGAGGCTAAAGAGACTCCCTGGCCTGAGGTCTTAAAGTGCAGGCATTATGATGTATAGTAAGTATATGAATCACTAAATTAGGTTTAATAGTAACTTCATGAATCACTAATGATATATTTTTAAAATTAAACTGTGTTAACTCAATCTTAAAAACATTAAATAACATAATTTGCAAATGATTCACTAATTGCCTACTTTACTAATTAGTATTGTTGTTTTAAAACATCATTATTACACATTTTCTAGTGATTAGTGTAAGCATTATATTTGTCTGGTAATTAACTAAGTGAGTAGCTTTTGCAATGGGTTTTCTACATAATATAATTAATATTTTTATAATATTGTGAAACACTCATTTATTTAACCAATTAATTTCAATTTTCAGCTACAATCTAACCAAATATTCTGAGAAGTTTGAAGCTCTGGCTCTGCGGTACGGTGAGAGATTCGTTGGTGCAGAGACAGACACAAGTGTTAGCGTTCACTCTGGAGGAATGCAGTCACCCAGCAGTGCTAGTAAACGAAAAGCTTTAAGGTGAATATAGTTCAATTGCCTTAGCATATTGTCAGAAAACTTCTTTACAAGTTGTGACAAACAAGTCTTGTTTATTTTTAAATTTTGAATTTTTGAACATGTACGTTGAATATAGTTTTAATATTTTTAACAATTTCAGGCTCGCTCAGGCCAAGTCTCCAGGTCGGCGGTTGTCCCACTTGGCGCGCCGGCGGCAGATGTTTTGCAGCGCCGCCACTATCAACGAAAAGGCGCAGGCTTCAGCCTCAAAAATGGTGCTCATTGATAAGAAGTAAGTATCAAAAACTGTATACTATATGCTGAAGCATACTTAGTTTGATATTATTATGCATATTCAGCTAGTACATTTTAAAATTTTGATTTAATTTCACACCTAATCTGACAAAACATTGTTTTCAGTTTCTTCCCGCACAGAAAGCTGGTTAATACAGCTGAGAGGTGGAGTCCAAGAAAGAGGCGCACGCCAGGCAAAAAGACCCCCGTTCGCAAGACACCAGGCAAGAAGACTCCGGCTAAAACTCCCAAAACACACAGCGGGAGCTCCAGCCGCAAGAAATCAATAAGGAGACTTCTCATGGATACAGACACCATGACACGGTCACAACCAACCCGGGAAACCTTGAAAAGGGCACTGTTCGTCAGTCCTGAGAATAAGAGAGGTGTACCCCAAGTTTCATGTTCCTCCGTGCCCGCACAAGCGATGAAATCGAAAAGAGCTTTATTTGGGTCTCCGGTAATGGCTGAAACTAAGAGCGCAGATGGATCTCAAAGCGACCAGTTCCTAAAAAGAAAGCGCGACGCATTAGAAGATGTGCCAGATACCAGCCGTAGTAAGATAGCTAAAAGTTTGTCTTTTGGTGGAGATTCCATGGGAAATTCACAATCCCACTCCTTCAACCGGCGAGCATCGGAAAGTTTTGTTAACAGAAAAAATATGGCAGAATTGAATGACTGTCACAAACAGGTGAGTTCGTTTACAAGTTTAACTTACACATTTGCCCATTATTTGACCTCAATAATTACAAAAGTAATAAAAATTCTATTAGTAGGTATTTATCTGACCTACATTTTTATTTAATGTAGGTTTGCCAATATAAGCTAAAGATAAGACGTTAGCTAATAAAAATAAATACGCGCAATCTCTAAAAATGCCATGTAAGCGTAATATTTTAACATTAACATTTTTACAACATTCTTCACAAAGATTGATTTGATGAAAATTTTGTTTTGTAAGCTCTATATTTTAGCTTCAATGCTCTGCCGTAACTATAAATTAATTAACTATACAATGTTTAGGGATTTTTCATTTGTGATCCTTCTTTTCCAATATGACTTACTATGACTACTACTGTCTACTATTATTTATATGTGCAGTATGAATCCTTCTGACCTGAACGTTGTATGTTTAAGCCTACGCGCAGACCACCGATTTTCTGGGAGCGGATTATTTATTTGACTGGTATTCCATTGGATAGCGAAGTCCATCACTGGTAAAAATTCTACTTTCTGTCACTGAGCGCGAGGATGTGCCATCTCTAGAGGCGTTTTGTATCTCTGTTTAGGTAAATTTAGCTAATAAACTGCCTTATTTGTTCCAGAAACTCCTGTGGGCGGTGTCTCAGGCGCTTCGCGTGCACGGCTGGGCGATGTCGTCGCCGGGCTTCCGTGAGAAGGCGTCTGCATTAGCGCGACTTACACGCAAGCTGCTCACGCTGCCGCCGCATGCGGCGCGCTACAATACTCCTAACCTGTCCACCTCGGACACCTTGCTCAAGTGAGTGTTCCTTTGTTCATACAGGGTGGAAACGATAAGTGATCTCACTCGATAATTTCTAAACCATACAATATATCGAAAAACTGGTTACTGACCCTGAAAGTGCTTTACGAACTCTTTCAAACGTTACCAATAACAGGTTACAGAATATACTGGAAGTATCTGAAAATTCAATGTATCCAGCTTCCATACTAAATGTATGCCAACCACACAATATTAAGTGTAATTTTTTAAAATTAAATAATGAACCTAAAAAAAACTCGTAAATTGCATTTTTATTTAAAATTATTCAAGGAAAAAATTAGTTTTAGGCTTTACTTGCTATAAAGTGTTGTATCAAGTATTAAGAGATGAGTGCCATGACTGTGGTAGTACTAAATGAATGGGGGATGGAAACATTGGATTTTTGGATAGATCCATTTTATTCTGTAACTTAATATTGATACCGTTGGATAGAGCTCGTGAAGCACTTTTAGGATCAGTNAATATAAATGGGGGTGATTTAGGTACACCTTGAGGTAAGGAGTCTAAATTTTTCTTTTAGACCTCACTGTTTTGGCCACCCTGTATGTACAGTATGAATCCTTCTGACCTGAAAGTTGTATGTTTAAGCCTACGCGCAGACCACCGACTTTCTGGGAGCGGATTATTTATTTGACTGGTATTCCATTGAATAGCTAAGTCCATCACTGGTAAAAGCTCTACTTTCTCTCGCTGAGCTCGAGGATGTGCCATCTCTAGACGCGTTTTTTATCTCTGTTTAGGTAAATTTAGCTAATAAACTGCCTTATTTGTTCCAGAAACTCCTGTGGGCGGTGTCTCAGGCGCTCCGCGTGCACGGCTGGGCGATGTCGTCGCCGGGCTTCCGTGAGAAGGCGTCCGCATTAGCGCGACTTACACGCAAACTACTCACGCTGCCGCCGCATGCGGCACGCTACAACACTCCTAACCTGTCCACCTCGGACACCTTGCTCAAGTGAGTGTTCCTTTGTTCATATAGTAATCATTCGGCTTCACTGCAGACCCTCTAATTATCAGAGGCAAATGGCGGGTTTGGCGAGGCAGGTGGAAAGGGAGGTTAAGGATGGCAGAATAGCGAGTTTTTGACAATCCCAATAATGATTTGTGAATTTTTGAGAATGGATAGATAGATGGATAAGTTATAGTTGAGGCCCAGGGGAAAACATTGATTCGTTTTTATACCAGTTTTAAAGTGCCTGCCTGTATTGTGTTGAACTTTGATTCAATTTAATATTTATTAAATAAATAAGTAATATTTAATTAAACATAGCGTGTATCTTGTTAACATAATAATTTACGGTGATTTTTTTGTTCCATAGATTGGCCCGCCTATACGTATACCCGATCATTCAAGGTCGCACCGTCGAGGATTGCTTCGAAGAGGAGCAAACGAAATTAGCTAACGAAACGAACAACAAAGTGACTGGTTACATATCGGCCAGCGCCTATCAGCAAATGAAGGCGAGACAAGCCGCCACCTCGAGCACTTTCACGTCCAAGATTAAAGAAAACACGTACAGTAACGGTTCAGTGAAACAGGAACTTTCTAGAAGTGGCTCGAAAAATATTCTACAAGATAAGTTAGTGAATATCGACACCAGCTCCAGTAGCAGCAGCGGTCTCAGCATGCTCGACAAAGGCAGTCTGGGAATGTTCAAGTCCAACTCCATGCCTTCGTTCGAAGAAGCAGCTAAAATGAGAGCTCGGAGACAAATAAGCTTTGACAATGTTGACTTCCCTAAAAGGTGATGTGCTTGTGGTTGAATCTCACTCAATTTGTAAGTTTTTTGTCTTCATTAAGGTGACAGTACTTCTAATTTAAGCTAGTTAAGATTTAACATTAGTAGTTTAATTACAAAAAGCTCTGTGTAAATGCAATAATTTATAATATTAATCTAAGCGAAAATGTTTACATTGAATTGATTTACGTAGAGGTTATTCCTTTAAATACTTTTTTTATTTGCACTGACTATTCGTATATTATTATAGCCAATAACTTCTTATGATACCCTGGGAATGTTATTACAGTCAACTGACGAGGGTCAAAGGATCTTCCTACATTGTTTTGTCTTATAGTTTTATTTTGTTGTGCATGACTTACTTAGCAAATAGTAGCTCATAATGTAAACAATTTGTTATAATGCAACTAATAACACGTTGTTAGAACATTAGATGCCAAGTACATTTCGCTTTTGGCTTGATCGACATGCCCAATACATATAATTTAAGTGAGTGTGTGTCTACGTATTGTACCGAGTAAATGCGTTACTATTGCTGAGCTTGATCTCAGGTGTTGTAAGAAAATAAATTATTTTTTTCTCAATAACTTTTGTTTTTTCCTTTTACCCAACCCAATTCATAATCCGTGATTTCTCTATGGTAAACTCGATTTCGATCAGCCCTTATCAAACTCATATATTGTGAATAATTAGATAAGATAACGGATCCATTAAAACAATCGTTTGTGTTCATTGTTCCATAGTAATCCAGGTGATAAATAGTGTTTTTTACTGTTAGTACTGCGACTTACAAAATGGGTAGCTCCCAAAGTTACCCAGGTCTGACCGAAGATCTCTTAGATGATTACACTAATTTGACATATTTAAAAAAGGGTGAAATATTACAGTGAGTACAATATCTAAATTATTTTTTTAAAGTAGTAAGTATCTGTGTAATCGTTTCATCACACAACTTCGCAATAATTACAGTACTTTAGTGAAATAGCTTCATTATTTACAATGGCACTTAGGCAGTACTCACTACGTTGACTACGTACATTATAATTAAACTATGTTAATTAATAACAAGTCTGATAAGTACCAGGTTGACTGGATATAAGTGAGATTAGCAAACTCAATTTTTCTTCTAATGCACCTTTTCAAGGTATGCACCTATTAGTTCGACCATTAGTAAAGTTGCTCATACTTGATACTGAACTGTTGTTACTTTTGAAATCTTTTAAGACTAGTTTATGGGCGGCCTATGTCTCATTTTTAAGTAACTAGGGTAAATATTGTTTTTATTTCAGTTTGATGAAAAAGTTCAATTCGATTGATCCCGAAAAACTCGAGGCTGATTACCATCATAGGTTTCCCAAGGAGGACATAATGAACAAGTTCGGTGCTTTGAGGGTGAGTCACATATAAATAACACCAATGATTGAAACTTCGATTATAAACTGAGTATCCAAAAACTGGATTAATAATTTTCCAAATTGAGTTTGTTTACTTGCGTTCAATAACTTGATGTAAGCCTACCTAAATGGTTTATTTCTGTAAACCAAAACATTTCGTTACGTGACTGTTCAGTTTCAGAGTTTTGTAACTTCGTTTGTTAGTCCCATATCTAAGAAGTAGGTACTGTTGCCCGAATTGTATTTCAGAATAACCCGTTCAGCGACCGTATTTTCCGGGTGTTTTCATCGAAGCAGGACGACTGCTTTTCCTTTGAAGACATGCTGGACCTATGCTCCGTCATGAGCTCAGATTGTCCGCCCGAAGTAAAGGCGGCGTGGGCTTTTAGGATTTTTGGTAAGAGTAATAAGTACCTATAAGTATGTAGGATAAAAATGATAGATAGATAGATCGCTTTATAGCGATAAGACCGCCTAAATTGTGCCGTCTCTCGTGAATTGTGTGTTATATCTTCTATCCAATTTATCCACCTTGCAAAGGCGTTCATATACTTAAACCCTTTAAAATAAAATTTTGTTTTTCAGATATAGATGAAGATAACCAGATTACCGAAAGTGACATTTGCGAAATTATAAATCGCCTCACAGCACCCGAACCGACCACTGGAGAAAGATATCTCGACGAGTGCTCTAAAGAAAAGATTGCTAAAATTGTAAGTTGGTTTTGCCTTTCCTTATGTTATTATTATAAGTTCCAGATTTCGCCATACAGTTCGTAACATTCAATTTCGCTACGTCATTGTTTTACTACCCGCCTTGTCTAAAGGCGATGATCCGAAGAAACGGTTTTGTCTGTACGCTTTTCCAAGTCAGCGGATATGAGTGGTAGTGCGCAAAAGACTAATGCCCGTTTTCAACATCAATCCCTAATTTGTAAGTAACCCCTATTAAAACAAAATTCCTGTTATTTGTTACCATGGGGGTCACTTAAAAATTAGGGATTAATGGTGAAAACGGGCATAAGTAGCACATAAATCCGCTGCCAAAACGCTCCTGCTACCGCTTACTCAAGTGTGGTTTAGAAAACACATTTTACATTGACTCATGATCATTACTAAACCTAGCGCTGATTTAATGTACTAGGCACTTTCATAATAGCGTAATCTAAATCATTTAATTAATATAATCTTTCAGATTCTACAAGAAATAAGTTTAGACAAAAATGGAGGAATCGCTGCTGCTGAATTCAAGTACATGATCTCAAGATTATCTGAATTTGAAACATCATTTTATTTTCGGTTGTAAATAAAAGGTGTATTGTTACAATGCCATTTATTTTATTTGATTAAACTGATGGATTCATTAAACAAGTAGGTAGTCTAGAAACGTTACCAGGTAGGTACATAATATGAGTTCTTTATCCAATTAATAAGGTCCATTACCTTACAAAGAGTTTGCACGCAGCCTTGTTAAAGCGGCCCGCAAGTGTGCGGTCAGGGAGAGCAGGCAAGCCGCTTGTACGGCCAGTGGAGCTCGGAAGCACCAACGGCTGCTTGTACTTCACATTGTACGCAGGGAAGTCAAGGTACACTCTGTTAAAATACATAATTCAGCTCAACTTATGGAAATAAATAGTAGCAATTACTTAAATCTGCTACAAACAAGTAGTTGCAGCGGTAGATCTCTAAAAAATATAGGGTTCGATTAATTTACTTACGGTGTCATGTCTGGAGGGCACTGTCCAATAATAACGGGCTCCCTAAAGTAGAGCAAAGGATGGTAGGCCTTGGGATAGCCCCTGTAGTAATCTCTGTGGCGTTGACTTGCCTAAAATTTGGAGAAGGTGGCATCAATATCCATCTTACAGTTTGTTAAATTAAACTTACGTTTTACAATTCGCAAGTTTACTCACTTCATAGAATGTCTCGATCTCATCCTGTCTGCCATTGTCTACGAACAAAATATCCATTACTCTTGATTTCAATAAAATAAACTTAAAATTTCAACCATTTACCAAAATAATGTAATGTCTTTTAAATTTGGCGCTGCAACGGAAAATTATCCATCTGTCAATTTCTTATTGTCTATGACGTAAAGCTTAGGATACACTAAAGATTAGAGCTCATTTAGCATCATTGCCAAAGGAGACGGCTCAGATCCTTATGGCACGGTAGCAGCGCAGGGCATATTTCACTATGTTCGAAATAGTCATATAATAAATAAATAGTCAATTATTGATATAGTCATTTAATTTTTAGCGTTAAGAGTCGCATCTCAAACTAATTTGAAAATTATAAATAACTTGAAAAAATCGAACCCACGACCTTCCGCTTGCCGGGTGAATGCTCGTCTGCTCTTCCTACTGAGCTACTAGACACTGGATGAACCCATTGAAAAATTTTCAAGTGTACGCTGTTACGGCCAGCGTTTGTTTCATCAATGTTGGGTATGCCTACCCTTAAAGTAGCTCAGTTGGAGGAGCATTCGCCCGGCAAGCGGAAGGTCGTGGGTTTAATTCCCGCTTTAGGCAGTTTTATTTTTTCAAGTTATTAAATAACTTTCAAGTAAATATTAATATTCGTTGACCCAGTATCTCTAACGTATATATGTGGCGAACAGCCCTTAATGTACATTTTACCTATTTTGCAGTCTCGAGTTTAGTTAAAGTTAAATAGACAGATAAAATCAAAGAGAGCATTTACTGGTAAAAGCAGAAATATAATTTGAACATCTTTATAAACAAAGCAAATAAAATTTTGTTGTAAAACATAAATAAATTATCTTATAAACGCTTTACATGCAGGTTTATTGTATCTTGGTGCTAATGAACGATCAGGCAATGGTGGGAAAGGTATTGTACGCCCTATAGATGGTGGCAATATAGGTGGCTCCTTGTATTTTACATGGAATGAAGGGAAGCTCAAATAGACCCTGTAAAATAAATTAATAATTAAGATTTATGAATTCATCAATGTTAACAATAAAAATCATTCAGCTGGACTGGAAGATACATACTCGGACATCTCTTGAGGACACTGCCCCATATACGATGGTTCTCGGAAGTAAGTCAGAGGATGATATGATTTAGGATAACCTCTGTAAAATTCTCGATGCATTTGACAAACCTGCAAAGATTTTAATAAAGATGGTGTACCTAGTATTGGATGGGAATTGGAATTTTAAGTGGTTGGATAGAGACTGGCTGACAAGAAATTTGATGAATGTCTCGCAAACGTTCGCCATGTTTCAGAATTTCTCACCTTATAAAAGGTTTCAATTTCTTCTTGCCTCAATACATCTACAAACAAAATAAATTTAACCATGATCACATAATATTATTTTCGTTTCAGTTTGAAATATTTCTTTTATTATGAATAAACCTATGACAGCTTGTGACAATTTTTTTTTCTATGTCATGTCGTAAAAAATAACAAACGTGTTAATTAATTTAAGAAAAAGTCTCGTCAACATCATTAATGGTACAGGTCGCTCAACGAGAGTTGAGGCCATAAACTTGAGCAAATATTTGAGTCTGTGCCTCCCGCTGTCCCCACCAAGCTTGTTTTCACTGGTGGGTATTTTTAAAATATAATTACAATTTATTATTTTTCTATTCCCTCTGTCCGGATGCAATCGGACTGACAAGTCCTTTCTCTTTCGTTTACAGGCATATTTTACGTGAGTGAGTTGAGGTACAACTTGAAAATAATAATGTAATGTATTTTTGCGATTTGAAATGTCTTTCAAGTAGTACCATCGGCAACAATATTAACTATCCATTGCCTGTCATGTCGTCTCGTTCTATAGCAAAGAATCACCATTTGACGAGAGCGAGAGAAAAAACGGAAATGGATAGTTAACAGTGTGGCCGTGTGTACATAAGTGGGAATTCGCCTCAACTTTCTTTGTGCGACCTATACAATACAACCATACATACAACCGATTTAACTTAAAATCGGTATAGGTACGGAGTAAAAATACCGGTATAAAGTTGGGTGTACATTTCAGCAAGAAAAAAAATCATAGACAAAAAATATTTATGTCATTCATTCATGGATCTGTCAGTCAAAATATTTTTGTCTCTGTATTGATAAACGTCAAAACAAGATTTCTAAAATTTTGTTTTACTATTTTCTTTTGTGATTACTATTTCTTTAGGATAAAGTTTACTTCAATTGGGATTACCGGACATGAACAGGCAAGGTAAATTATAATTAAAATTTAATAAATCATTTCGTAACATAACGACTGGTAATTTGGGTGTACTATTTTTGTCCGCTCTACATTCGGTGCATTGAAATAATTTTGACATCCAGGAAAAGATGTTCTTCCTGAATGGTAAGTAGGTATTCGGGGATTTAACACGTTATCACCTTCTTATTTCATGAAAAAGCGTGCATATAAAGAGAAACTAGCATACCAGCAGTTGTCGCGTGGGAGTGATGGTCATTATCATATTTTTTGCCTATACGTGTTATGTACCTTGCTGTGTCTTGAACGAGCATATGTGCGGTGAGATTAATGTGCTTGTGTTGTGAAACTGACTCAGTCAGGGTTCAGGCACTCTTACCATTTGACAGCTTCAAAATAAATAAATGGTGAAATCAAATTATTTAATCAGCTGTTCACTATGTACACAAATTATCAACATTTTTAGTTAATTATTATTTGATGACTCCTACTAATTATATCAGTAGAACTATGTTTATGCTCAAATAAAACTAAGTTAGTTTCTCTTTTCTCGTACCAAAATTCATATGCTATAAACTTTGTTGTTAAAGTAGGTATCTTACATTTTAAGGATTATAAAAACATGACTCACAATGATAATAATACTTTAATGTATACTATACATTTAAGTATCTTTATTTAATGTTATGTATCAATATGTTATATGTTAAACTATGTAGTTCTTTTTGGGATTGGATAAAATTACATAAAATAAATATCTATTAGAAAAAATATAACATTATGATTTTGCAGTATAAAATTATTGCATTAACTCAAAACTGCTATTTATCTACCGCATTATATCTTATCTCAATTAATGTCGATACTTTTCAAAATAATTTCCATGCTTGGTGGTATTATGTAGTGTTATCTGTTATCTGCACATCAGTCATCAGCTGATAACAGGTCCTTGTGCAGTGTTAATGAACTAGTTCTAGTATTTTATTTATTTAACTATTTTATACATGCAGAAGCTCATCCATCCAATTTGAAATAATCATGCCGTTAAAAACATTCCAGTTCCAGATATATTTCTAGCGGAACTAAAACTTGGTGCATGAAGTGCAACTTGGTCCTTAAACTATGATGTGTCATTTGTATGTTTTCTTCCCCTCTGCTTGCACATTGTTGACTCAAAACTGTTTCATAAGATCATGCTATAATTATTTTTTAGTGAGAGTTACGCTAGCATAGAAAATTCTTATTGAGATCAGTCCTGATGGTTTCTGTCTAGATTTGCAATCATAGGCCATTTATTTAGGTGCAGTGGATGAGAATAGCATGTCAGAATACAATTTGTAAGATTTGTTTTGATGGACATCATAAGATTTTAAATCTAGCTTGTCAATATTTTATTAATTCATTTATAAAAATAATACACCCTGTATACAACTGGATTAGTATTAGGGAACATCTAAATCACTGGAGATCTAGAGAGAGCTTGAGCTATGCGATTTTCGTGCATACAGTATCTTCTTAGATGTATTATGATGATATCATGGTTAACGCCGAGAGTTTGGCGTGTATTCCACATCATTACGCAAGTAAACTTCGAAACGTAGGCTTCCCGATCCGGCTTAGATGTCCCAATTTAGTGCGCGGGTATGAGCGCGTTGCCCCTGCCTACCATTAGCCATCTTTAAATCTGGTTAACGTCGATTAAAATATAATTTTACGACATTACAGAATTAAGATATTATTTTGCCAAACAATCTTATAAGTATTGTAAGTACTTCATCAAGAGTTTCCTAAATTAAAGGCATTTTTTGGCGAACACGAACCCGTGCACAAATTACCGATTACGGGAAACGAGCATCTGTCGGGATTTGCAAAATAAACTTGAATGGCAAAAAAATTAAAACATCGTCTATTTAAATCAAGACACGCAAAAGCCATTATTAGTTCAGTTACATAGTCGCCTACGTCAATCTCGTTGAAAAGGCCGAATATAGAAATGATCAAAGAACAAATTACCTACCTACCTACTTACTATTTTTTTAGAAATATTTTACGTATGTTCAGCAGAGAAGAAAAGTAAAATGCTGTAAGAAGAAATATGAGAAAAGCTAAAGGATAAATTAGACATTAGACGCGGGTCCGTGTACCGCATATTTTAGGCAACATTTATCATCCGAATTTAATTAATTCTTACATTAGTGATAACAAAGATTACGTATCATTTAATTTCAATGGTGACTAATAAGAGGTGATTGAATGACCAGAACACCGACGATTGAACAAACGATGAGTCACAGCGGTTATTGTGCTCCTCACGGTTCAATAGTTGATAGGTACTAGCTTTTTCCCGCGGCTTCACCCGCGTGAAATTTAGTTTGTCACAGATCGTCATAAATTATAGCCTATATGTTATTCTGGGTTATAAACAACAATACTTTTACTTACTGACCGCCATTCTTGTGGCGGAGTTTTAGGCCGACGCTGGCGCTGTGTAGGTTTGTTGTCGACACGGCAAGAAGAAGAAGAACAATAATACTGTAAAGTTTCATCAAAATCCGTTCAGTAGCTTTTGCGTGAAAGAGTAACAAACATTCAGACATCCAAACTTTCGCATTTATAATATTAGTAGAATTTTCATGACCCTCGCGTGGGACTCCACGCCTATTTACTTGGTTCGTTGCATTTCGTTAGCCGTTCTTTGTTTGATAACAATATCATGTCGGCATGGATACCGATCACCAGTTCAATATTGTTCTGGAATCGTGATGCGAGTTGTATACGATTTCAGTGCGATACCGGCCGTTTGCTCTTTATCATCGTAATGATTTTGAGCGTTGTTTACGTTGTTAATTGGTGTAATCTGTAAATAGCTCGTCTAAACACGCGGTCTTATTTTTATGCTATTTCTGCATTGTGTCATTATTGTGGTAATTTAGTTTAATAGTTTGTCTTTTAGCTACAGTAATTTCGTGAGTTGTAGAGGTAGAGATCAATAATTGTTTAATTTTAATTATGTTTTTAATTTACCTCGCGAACCTGTGTAAATAATAGTTTAAAACAATTGCCATTGTGAGGATAAGTGAAGATTACGATTCATAAAGCAAGCGGTAATTATAAGTTTATTTGGTACTTAACTCTGTCAAGGGCAGACTACAAGCGATTTATGTTTAAATGCAGGTCCTTTAGAGTCCTAATAGGTTTTTAGTTAGTAGTTACTATCTTGAAAACCCACCAATCATCATAAAATACTAAACAAATCTTTATTACCTAGAAACTAAAATATTCACATAAATAGGTATGGACGTAAGCAAGACTACTAGTTAAATATGCCATAAGGATTATTTCATTGTCTTAATGACTTGATCTCGAAGCCTAAATAAAAGTGCACACGGGTGCCAGTTGCCATAACATAACACCGCGATGTATTTTGCGACCCCATGGCCTTTGTCCAATTTTCTTTGTAGAGCGTTATAATGAGAGATGATCTAAGCCTTAAAGTATAGTCTTCGAGCCTTGAAGCACGGGACTATTCCCACTTCCAGTTCCCACCGTTGCAACTCATATGTTGCCAGGATTTACAGTTGACAGCCAAATAAAAAGTTTGTCCCTTGAGAAAGTTAACCTAGCCGCAGATTACAGACTTTTTGTCGGCCGATAGTTGTGTTGGGCTGTTAAAGCTGAAGAAGTCTGTTTTGTTCCAGTTGACCCATAGCACCTTGGTACTATTACTTATTCTGTGCGGTCTGATGATGGTAATGACGTTGCCGGGAATAGGCGGGCTTGTAGCGAATGAGAGAAGAACCGAGCCTAAAATAGTCTTTGCGATGTTCCGAGTTCCGAGCCTTAAAGTATATTCTCTGCGATGATCCGAGCCTTGAAGAAGCCTATTTTGTTCCAGTTGATCCTTAGCGTGGCCTGGTGATGGTTATGACGTTGCCGCGGGAATAGGCGGGCTTGTAGCGTTATAATGAGAGATGATCCGAGCCCTAAAGACTACTCGTATACTCTTTGAGATATTTCGAACCTTGAAGAAGTCTTGTTTTGTTCCAGTTGACCCATAGCGTGGCCTGATGGTAATGACGTGCGCGGCGGGCATGGGCGATGCGGCGCTGCGCGAGCGGCTGCCGGCGCTGTGGCGGCGCATCGAGGACGCGCACTACAGCTACCTCGAGACCGACGACAGCCC